AACATCATTTTTGACAAATTTATACATTATTTTATGAAGTTTTTATCACAAAAATGCTTGTCTCACTTTGCTACACATCTATAGAACATTCACAAATTATGAGCACTGAAAAAAATCATGAGTAATAACACATACACCAATAGAATATCAATCATTTCATAATACTTTTGATTTAATTTCAATACTTACTCAAGCATGAGATGCCTTGTTCGAATTCGAATACATATGAACATCCAACTGCATGGTATCAATTCGAAAATAAGTGATAGAAATAGATTGTTTTAGATGGAGTGGGTGTGGGTTGAGGGGGGCTAAGAGGTAAGTGCGGGTGCCGGTGCGCATGATGGGGTGGGTAGGAGGGGTATCCTGAAGGGGTGTAGTGGGGTGAGGAGTACATATAATCATATATCGGAAAGTTAAACTAAAACAAAAATTAAATCTAGGAATAGTTTTATTTTTAGCTTAACTTTTTCTTTTCTCCGTTTATATTCGAACTCAAAGTGGACAGCTACTCATTGAGGGAGTCAGACTACTCTGAATAGACAATGACCGGCGAGCTAATGTAAATTGTACGCAGAGGACGTGTTGTTTCATTTTCTCTTTTTTACAATTACATGAACAGTTAACGATGGTACGAACATACAAGCGCAAAACTTAAGATAAGTACTCAAAAGATGATTTGAACAAGCACTATCAGATATTCGAAATAAAAAATTGTCTATAAAAAATGCTGCTGCTCACTATCACATAACAACTCGAACAATCTTTCATAGGCTTGCTGGAAGTCGAACTGGTGCAGGTCGCGGCAGAAAACCATTTTGCCTAAAGAAGAAGAGTCTCATCTAGTTACTACGATTATTTTGTTTCAGAAATGGCAATGTCCAATTTCATCTTCTGTGGTCATTGGCTTAGCTAAACCTTATATGATTCAATTGTGTAAGCCGGTGGCTTCAAAATCAACGCTCCGGGATTGGTGTCAGGGGTTAATGCAGCGATGGTCAAAAGAAATAAAATTAGCGAAAACAGTGAAGCTTGAAAAGGTTCGTTCAGAAGCTTGCCGAAAAGAAACCGTCGGTATGTGATGCTTTCTTCTACCCTTTTTGGCAAGGGCCCACCACAGTAGGAATATAATCTGAAGACTTTCATGTTTTAGAACGCTGGTTTGAACATCTCAATGCGGTGCTAACTAAGCACAAATTATTGAACAACTGACCTGAAGCAATATGGAATGTTGATGAAAGCGGCTTCGGTGACGATCCAGGCAAACGATCAGTTATAATAAAACGAGATAGCAAGTATACCATATCATGTCAACCTCGTACTGGTAAATCGTACACGACAGTAATGATGTGCTCAAGAAGCACTGCAGTGATGGCTTTGTTAAAGCTGGGATCTACCCATACGAACCTAGTGCTGTTAATAATGAAAAATTGCTTGGGGCATCATCATCATCAAATGATAAATCAGCTTCTGTTGATGATTCGGCTGTTATCCATCAACATGTCAATCGCTTGACTCGATCTGCTTCATGTGAACAACTTTCTGTAATGGGTAAGTTATATAAGCTACTTGAAATTTTGTTTATTATTTTTTTGTATTTGGCAACACTTAACAGGTCTTAGCATCACAACAACATCGCTGCTGAAGATTTCTGATCAATCTATCTCAATTGAAAATGGACTTACCACAATAACAACAAGTAAGTTCTAGTTTCTTTCTGATCTATCAATTCATTCTGAAGACTAATGCAGTAAAGCAACGGTCAAAAACGTTGAAACAACTTTAATGAAAAAATGAAGAGATCTGATTAGTTGAGAATCTTCTCCTAGATAAAAAGATTAATTTTGGCATAATATTTTTTTGCTAGCTCCAGTAATCTCACCTATTGATCATATTCGGATGCCATCGACAATATTACCAATGACAACAGATCCCTCTAGTAAGTTATTGCATGGAATCTTTTTTTTGTTTTATTTATAATGATGACATACATTATCATGCATTAATAGTCTTATCGTCGACTATCGATTCAACGATAGCAATTCAACAATCTTCTGTTCCTAATAGTTCTAATTATGGTAGGTTTAACTCATGTTGATCTTTGAATAATAATGCTGCAAATTTATTTGATTTCTCTTCACTAGATGCGGCAGTTTCTACTGATCTATCAAATAATAATAATAATATGGTAGTGATGGATAATTCCTTAGTTTCTACACAGGTACCTATTAATGTATTATCCAATGTAATTAGTCAGTACATGGGAACATCTACAACCAATACATCAAGCATTCAATGAAAAAAAAGGATTGATCGTCATTGTGGACAAAGTCTTACTAGTGTCGAAGTTCTAGCACAATTGCAAGCAAAAGGAAAAGGAAAACAACGGCAAGTGATATAAAAAGAAAGTGATCAGTATTCTCTTTTGTTCATCGATCATATTTCTTTAACTGTCACCATTTTTATTTTAGTGGGCGACCACGAAAAGTCACGCAGCAGCAACAAGTACTTGATGAAATCGATGCCCTTTCCCCAGGTCGAGCAATCCGACAGTAGGCACCTATCGGAACCCATTCGATCCGACTGGAATCCAATCGGATTTTATCGGATCCTGTCAGATCTTACAGAATTATCGTTGGATTCCAGGTCGAGGAATTGATGTCGG